ATGGCGGCGGGAGTGCGGCTGCCAGGAACGACATGGTGGTATCAGGAAGGCGGTAGGGGAGGGGGAGGGGAGGGGGAGGGGAAAGGGTGGAGGATAGAAAGAAAAAAGAGGAGGAGGAGGAGTGGAGGACGTGGAGGGAGGGCAAAGGAGGAGAAGGAGAGGAAGAGGAAGAAGAGGAGAGGGGGGAGGAAGTGGAGGGAGAAAAAGAAAGGGAAGAGGAAGGAGAGAATGGGGAGGACGTACAGGGAGAAAAGGAGGGCAAAGGGAGGAGAAGGAGGAGGAAAAAAGGGGAAGTGGAGGGAGAAAAAGAAAGGAAAGAAGGGTAAGAAGAAGAGGATGAGGAGGATATAAAGGGAGAAAAAGAGGAGGAGGGTGGAGGGGATGAAGAGAGGAGGAGAGGAGGTGAGGAAGGGGAGGGAGGGAGGGGAGGGGAGGGGAGGGGAGGGGAGGGGAGGGGAGGAGAGAGAAAGAGATGGAAGAAGGAAGTGGAGGGAAAAAAAAAAAGGAATAAGTGCAAGAAAAGGAAGAAGAAGAAATAAAATAAGAGAGAAAAATGATGAGGGGAGAAAAAAAGGGATGATAGAAAGAGGAAATGGAGGCGAAACGGAAGAGAAAAAGAAGGAGGGAGAAGAGAAAGAGGACACAGAGCAGAGAGACGAGTAGGTGGTGGAGGACAGCGAAGAAGAGGAGATGGCAACCGAGAGAACAGTCGAGGAAGTCATGATGAGAGAGAAGCAAAGAGACCGGGGACGAAAATACAGGGAAAAAAATAACGCATGATGATAATGAAAGAGGAGAGACGGGAGGCAGGAGAGAAAAAGCAGCGAGGCGAAGTCCAAGAGCATTAAGAGCAAGAGCGAGAGGCCACGGCGGCGGCAGATGAGGTGGAAGCGTCCGCGAGAGCAGCGTCCCTCACTCATAACAAGTGACAGTGGGTGGCCATTCACATTCAAATGAGGCCGGAGGAGCCAGGCAGCGAGGCCTACGAGAGGGCGGCCTCTGGCACCCCTTTCGCCCCGCCGTCTGGCCTCCCGCCTCTCCTGCCTGCCGCCTCTCCTGCCTCTGGGAACCGCTCGCCGCCCGCACGCGAGGCCGCCCTTCTTCCTCTCCTCCCGTGTGCCCTGGCTGCCGTTCTTTCGTTGCAAGGCCAGTGGCAATTCCTTCGCTGCCATCCCTCGCTCCTATCCTGGCCAAAAGATCCTTCCTACTGCCACTCGCAGTGTCTTGCAAACCCACATCCTAACAGACACTCATTCTCTCTGTCTCTGTCTCTGTCTGTCTCTCTCTCCCTCCCTCACACAAACACACACTTCTGCATCTCATAAAACATACATTTCGGTGTAAATCGCCACACAATACATGCAGAATCTACGCACGCGATGCTAATACGAAGGGCATTTGCACTCTTGTTATTTCCCGTCCCTTTGAAAGTCTAGACAACGCGGCCAGGTGCGGAGACAGGGCGAGCGAAATTCAGGGAGAGGAAGAAGAGGGAAGAGTTGAGAAAAATGGTAACTATAGTCGTATTTTTTTAAAAGTAGAAGTCGCAACACTAGAAGTGGTAAATAACACACGATGGAGGTGGTGGTGGTAGTGGTGGTGGGGGGGGTGATGATGATTGTGATGGTGATGATGATGATAATGACGACGATGATGATAATTAATAATATTCAATTAAAAAATAACAATAAAGACAATGCGTGCTACCTGTTCAAGCCGTCTTCCTAGCGTTCTAACACTTCCTCGAATGGCTTCAAACTACCATCCGTTTCCTTCGAAAGGACCAGAACATCCGCCTGTTCCTCGTTAATCTCAAACGCGTTAATCAGGTTCGTGGGCACATCTCTCCCACGCACATCGCTTCACTTCCACGCACATCACTTCACTTCCACGCACATCACTTCACTCCCACGCACATCACGTCACTCCCACGCACATCACTTCACTTCCACGCGCTAGGGCCAACGAGAGAGCTTCAAGTCTGTCGCTTCCCCGCACAGCTATTACGGAGTGATTACACTGATATAAATTAAACATATCATGGCCACTTCACCACCTTCATTGTACATTCATGAGGCTTCTTGGGCTTCGAGTATTTCGCAAGGCTCCGTCCGGCTCCTCTCGGAAACCCTCCACATTTACACTTTCATTAGAACCCTCAGAACACGGAAACCGAATTCACTCCCTTCCCCCGCTTCCGCCCGGCGCGGCATTCGCAATCAAGAACACAATATCCCGGCAGAAAGGTGGCGGAGTGGGCGTGCGAGCGTGTTCCTGGCGGAGTTAGTGTCAAGGCCCACCCACGAGCCGGCACGGCATTCCTCGTGACTAAGCCAGCCACGCCGCTGCCTCGCAAACCTAATTACTGCTTGATATTCTCTCTCTTGCGCCATGCACGGCGATACATGAATCCACTCGGGCTCTGCCCCCTTTGTCTCTCTCTCTCTCTCTCTCTCTCTCTCTCTCTCTCTCTCTCTCTCTCTCTCTCTCTCTCCCTCTCTCCCTCTCTCCCTCTCTCCTCTCTCCTCTCTCCCCTCCTCCCCTCTCCCTCTCTCCCTCGCCTGCCCTGTGGCGAGGTGGCGAGGCGAGCACGGGTCTCTCCCACCGCAACTCCGCGTATGGAAGCCGCCGACACTCGCGGTTCCTCGAGGGGGCGTTCGTGCCGGCTAATCTCGAGGACCGACTCAATTGGCAGCCATCATCCAGGGAGAGGAAGGTCTCCGGGGCGAGCCACGAACGTCCGTCACCCTCACCGGAGTCCCGCTTTCTGCGAGGCGTCGCTAACCACCACCCGCCGCTCTCCCCTTTCGCTGAACTCCCACGCCTCCTCCGGCCAAGGCGACTCCCACGAACCATCTTCACACGAGCGAGCGATCCTCCTGCCCGCGCTCTCGAGACACACATACATACCCATCCTCCGCTGGTGCCAGGTGTGGTGCTGGAACAAGAAGTGCCACCCGCGGCCCGGAAAGTTAGCAAGTTGTACAGTTCTCCTGGAATGATGTAGCGCTAAACTATACAACCTACTACCTCACCGGACCCGCGGGTGTGGGCGGCTCACAGCTGGGCGGGCGTCGTTGACATCGTCGAGGGTGTGCCATTACCGCGAGGGGGGAGGGGGAGGCTCCCCTCAGCCCCTCCTCGTGCAGGCCCGTCCGCCAGCAGCCACGACGTCGGGTGCCGAAAGACGAAGCTCCTTACGAAAATCTTTAAGACGACGTAACACCTGTTGCAGGTGTGCCTGTCAAATTAGATGCACAGCCTGCAAGATGCGTCACTTAAACCGAATGTCTAGCTAAGTCTGCACTATCTAAACCTTGAAGTTATAACTGCACCTAATCAGGAAGAGCAGAAGGCTATCTTAACTCCCCTGCCATACAACACGGGCTTTATCTACGCACTCCACGTAAATCCATCAGATACCTGGTGTGACCGATACCAGAGGACGCAGCCTCCTGGCCCTCGCCCCACACCACCCGCACCACAGCCACCAGCCACCAGCACCCCCACGCTTCCACAGGAGGCAGGACGGCGGCACTCGGGAATGCCCGTGCCAAACCCAGAGGGCCACGGCCGCTTGGCACTCCTCAGAGCGACCCCGTCTCCTCCTCAGACGCTCCTGACCTGCTTGCTTCCGAAGGCACGTGCAAGAACCGCCTATCCCCATAGAATCGAGCTTGTGTTGCGATTACCACAAGTTCGGATCTACGGGTTTGGACGGATCCGCTGTTCTGCTGCTGCGTCGTCGTCGTCGTCGGCTCCTGCTCCTGCTGCCCCTCCTCCGTGTCCTTCTCCCCGAGTTCCTTGTTCTGCTGGTGTCGCGGCGCCGTTTCCAGAACTTTCCCTTGTCAAGCCCATTCCCCCCAGGATGTCCCTTCGAGTAGGTCCGCCTCATTTGCATACCGGCATTGTAAGCTAACTGTAAGAAAAGGGTTCAGGCTGTATTGTATCGCCCCCTGATTGGCGGCTTATCGCCAGGGCCGCCCTCCGCTACCCTTCGCCAGTGACGGATGGGGAAGGGCGCGGAACAGATCGGCCGTCGATAGAGGTCCCGGGGCACGGAAGGCAACGCGCGCCACAAAGGGCCAGATAAAGCGTCCCATTTTCACACGTCATTAACAGGTACACGCGCATTCCCTCTCCGTGCTCTCGGCTCCACCTAGGCATATGACACCGGGGCGCGGGACGAAGCCCATTACCTATTCACGGCTCGAGCACATAAGGTGTGAATTTAAATAGAATTAAATGCGAGAGAACATCAGCACGAACGCGAACGGGTTGACCGAGCCATCCACTTTTAGGCTCCGCTGATCTCTTACGAGCTCCGAACGCCAGATAAAGATCCATTACTCTTCGAACTCACAAACTCAAAACAATAAAACGCTGGAAACAGACAAAATGTTCTAAAAAAGAGGGTGGGAAATGTTGAGCTGCCGACTAAAGTTTCATGTAATGAGGAGCATAATACGCAACTCCCGAGTGTTAATTTTAAAAATACTGAGTTATCCGGAGCGAAAGTCGCCGGCAAATGCGGGAAAAAAGTCCCAACACGAACGCGCAGCCAACTCAACCTCGCCGAACCCCGACTGCTGCGTGTGAAAGCTTTTGTTGCAGTTATCCATGGCTTTATCACCCCTTTAGCACCATGCTTCGCCTCCCCCATTGCAGGAATGTCCCGAAGCCCCTGATATCAAAAAGCAAAAATCGGCCTTAAACAACTCTTCGCCTGACCTCCCTTCCTTCGTCCGTTAATCGCCATCGGCTCAGGACTCTTCAGGCTCTGACATTTCACCCGACAAGGCTCCCTACAAAGGCTGCTGAACCGACCTTCGGCAAAATAACCCAACTACATGGCGTGACGTCGCCCGAATTAGCCGGTGTGCCAACCAACCACCTCCACACGACGACCCTCTCTGCGATACGACCTACTTCCCGATCCCTTTGTGGACGCTCCTTGCTGTTTCCTTGATCGATGCGCCCGGACAAAAAGATCATGCACGAATGAATGAGCGAATCAATAGAGCCCAAAAAGGCCTCCATGACGAGACGAAAACGAGAAGAAGGAGACAGCTTTAAAAAAATCATAAGATCCACACGAAATACTCAAGAGAATTAAAAATACTTAAGGAAGAGTCAAGGATCACCGACAAAAGGTCAAGCCGGTTGAAAATGGATCATACGCCGAGCATCAGGGCAGACTCATCTATTATTGTCTGATCAGAAGATGTGAAGCGAATGCACCGCAATCTATCAGCATTACCACAACCGTTACGTACTGACACGGTACACAAGAGAGTGCGCGCGCTGGTAAATAGCGGGTTTGCGCTAAGGAGTGTGACTTACAAGAAGCCGGCGAGTGTCTTAATCGGCTTGGAAGCCCCGCTCAGATATCAGTAACCGCCATGATTCATTTTTTAAACGCGGCTTTTGAGATCCGAGTCTGGGCGGGGTAAGTGTTTGTCTTTTGCATTGAGGCGCCGGTTTTTTTCTTCTTTTTTTTTGCCCGATTTCGTTCTGCGTTCAAACGGGCGTTCCGTCACGCGCGTACCCTCCTCCTCCCCTTTTTCCGACGCACCGAATCCAGCCCAACATTATTTATAATGGATGTCTCTCCTCCTCACTCTGGGCGGTGCGAGGGGGCGCTACGGGCCAGGCTTCCCCGTTCGGGCTCCGTAGGAATCCAGCGAGGCCGGCCGCCCTCTCAACCCAAACCCCGCTGTAAATCTGCGCCCTCTTTAAGCTGTCACTCCGCAGAGACAGACAGACGCGCACACACTTACATACATACATACATAACCCACGCAGACACACAGCCCTTCTACCGCGACTTTGAACGATATCCTACTCTGCGATTCGAACGACGGCGGGATCGTCCAGCCCCCGACCGTAACGCCGCCCCTCCGCCCGCCTCGCAAGGGCCATTGTTCGCAGGCACAGCCCGAAGTACTGGTCCTTACGTGCGCGCGTTGGTTGGCACTGTCCCGTCCGGCAGCCGCACCCAAGTACTCCCGCAGGATGTTGGAATAATGTCAGACGACTCCGTAGGAAATAATGTGGGACAGGAGTCCAAAGCGGGCGAACCGCGGCGTCCCATCCTTCGGAAAATGACGTCACAGGCAGGAGTGCGCGAGGGAGGGGCAGGGCGAGTGCCAAGGGGGGGGAGGTGGGCAGGGAGGGAGGGCGTGCATAGGAAACCGACTTGTGTGGGTTGCTGGCGGTTATGCAACAGATGCCGATGTGACGCGGGTGTGTGCACGTGTCCTATGACTCAAAGGCCACGCCCATCACCCCCCACACTTTCACAGCGTGTGGGTGCAGAATGTGTGCGTCCCCCGGCATGCGGGCGTGGGCAATTGGAGTCAGCGGCGAACTATGCGAGGGGGAGGATTCTGCCAACGCCGCTACACGTGGCCAGGGCAGCTTGGGCAAGAGGTGGCACGAGAGGCGTTGTCACTGACAAAGCAGGTAACCGCTGTTGGCAGCCCGAATCTGTTCCGCAAGCACCGCCCGCACCTTTCGCCTTCCATGCCGTGACCACGCCCGCACGCCAAGCCGGGCACCAAGACCAAGAGGGGCGGGGAGGGGCTGTGGGCCCGGCTTGCAGATTCGCCAAAGCCAACTCGAATCAAAATGAAGACCTCAGCCACCTGACTCTGACAGCCACAGCCGGACTCTTACCCGCGCCCCTCCTCGCCGCCCTCCCACGGCCGCCCCCTCTCGCCGTGACATCCTCTTCCTCAGAGTCAAAAAGTGAAAAAAATCTTCCCTCCAGTAGGCCTAACCACTTAGGGGCTCGGCGGAGCTGTTGACACCGCGGACAATGGGTAAGGGGCAAGTACACACCCTGAGACGCTCCCCAACACAGGTGTTTCCAAATAGTTGGACAAAGGGCGGTGTAAGCGGCACCGCGTAATGAGGCGTAACACCTCCCGTACCTTCCCCGGGCTACCTGGCGGGCCTAAGAGGACCTGACAGCCCCGGCTCCTCCTCCGCTGTTGACACGGCGGCGGAGGCAGCGACCCGCACGCGCTCCCCCGAGGAACGAGAGGCCCCGCCCCCACGTGCATACCACTCGCTTCCTAGAGGAGCCCCCCCCCTTCCCCCTCTAACATACACACAAACAAACCGCTAAATAGGTAAATAGTGTGTCTGGTATTTTGCGGTTGACCGCGCTGGTACTCCCTTTGTCCCGCCCGTGAGTACCGAGCCTTACCATACGTCTTCATAAGGGGCCCGGCCGCCTGGCCCTGGAGCCGACGCTTCCCTGGGACGGGCCCGCCGGCGAGGACGGGCCCCTTCGATGGCCTGTCGGTCCCAAGGAACTGGAACAAATCACTATTTTCTGAAATAACCGGAGTCTCCTATTCCACACTCGAGTGATCTTGGAACAGCTGCTGAGTGAGTGGTCAGAGGGAATTCCTGGAACGAACGAGGTCACTCGAAGCACTCCTAGTCCAGACCACTCGCCCGCCCCTCCCCTCCCCCCCCCCGACCCCACCAACGCATTCCAGGCCGACGATGATATTGAACACTGCAGGTTAAGCCCCAGCCTACTTCCGAACCTGCACCTCCCCCTCCCCCCCTCTCCCCGGGCCTCAGTGTGACGTATGCAGAATTTGGCGAATGCTCCACTCTATGAGTCACGTGTCAACGCTACTACACTGTATGCAACAGCCTTCCGGGTTTCAGCGTACTCCTATACCCTGACACAAATATCTCCCTGCCACACGGTATTCCCAGGATTCCCCCCCCTAATACCAGCTTCTTGGCCCTAACACCAATACTCTCCCCCCTTATACCAGAAACACCACCGTCCTTACCCATCCTTATACCTCACACGCTGGTCCACCCTTCCACGACCCCGCGAGGAGGCATCCGATCCTTCTCCTCACCGCCAAGCGAGGATCGAAGCGGAGGAAATGGGATTACATCATGACAAGCAAGAGCCCGAGAGAGAGAGAGACGGAAACATGGCCATCCGGGACTCGGGAAGTGTCAGAGGGGGCGCCAGGGGGGGGGGGGGGGCAAGTATTTGCGTGGGAATATCAAAAGTAGGGCGTGACTGTAAGCAGAAGGGGTGGGGGTGGGGGGGGAGGGGAGGCGAGATACCCTCTTCAAGTAGGAGATATCACATCGAGAATCGAATCCGAATCCCTTAATACACTTCACCTTTCCTTGAAGTACGGGGTAAGGCGATCGCCAAAGAGCCCGACTGATCCTTATTCATCACAACAACGTTTAAAAAAATCCAAATATGGCATAGAAAACATTACCCCCCCCCCCCCCCACACACACAAACATGCAACGAAAAGGAAGTAGTGAAGGAGACACTAGAGAGATAAACAGACAAACAAATAGACAGGCAGATAGATAGTTAAGAGAGGGAAAAAGGAGAAAAGAGGAAGGGAGGGGAAGCAGGAGAGGAGCAAAAACGTGTAACGCAAGGATGAGGGGAAACTAAAACTGCGTGAGAAAAGGGGAACCGCCTAGGTCAGACTCTAGCCGGAGGAGGGGGTGAAGACCTGGAGGTGAAGGGTGGAGGGGGAGGGAGGTGGAGGGGAGGGAGAGGGAGGGGAGGAGGGAGGGAAAGAGAGGAGAGGGAGGGAAACAGGAGGGGAGGAGGGAGAGGGGAAGAGGAGAGGAGGGGGAGAGGGAAAGAGAGGAAGGAGAGGGGAAAAAGGAGGGGAGGAGGGGGGGGAAGGGGAAACAGGAGTGAGAGGGGAGGGGAAACAAGAGAGGGGGAGGGGAAACAGGAGGTAAGGGGGAGGGGAGGAAGGAGGATTGGGAGGAGAGGAGAGGGGAGGAGAGGCGAAAGTTGAAGCAGGAGGAGAGAGAGGAGAGAAGAGAGAGAGAGAGAGAGAGAGAGAGAGAGAGAGAGAGAGAGAGAGAGAGAGAGAGAGAGAGAGAGAGAGAGAGAAAGAGAGAGAGGAGAGAGCAGAGAACAGAGAGAAAGAAAGAAAGAGAAAAGCAGCCACAAGAAGGATGAGCTCGGAAAGAGGGGAAAGTAGGATGAAAATGGAACAGAAACGAACGAAGGATGAGGGGAGAGTAAGCTGAACATGGAATTAAAAAATATATAGGATGAACAGAGGGGAAAAGGGAGCTTAGGATAAGAGTCTGCTGGTGCGCCGAAAGAGAGGAGAGAGAGAAAGAGTAGGATAAACCAGAGGGAAAGGGGAGAGCGAAGGATTTACCGGGAGGAGCAACTGGACGGGAATGAAGATATGCTGAGGGCAAAAAGTGGAATGCTGAGGCTGAATGCTGAAGGAGTATGGGTTTGGGAAAAAAAAACGAAAACGGGCCCAAAAAAAAAAAAGAAAGGAACGTGTATTAAGAGGAAGGTGCTCCCCACCTCCCACCATACCCGCTAATAACAAGTAATTCCTCATGCTTAAAATTTTTCTTCCCCTTACTCTCTGCTTCCCCTTCCCTCCTTCCTCTATCCCACTCCTCACTCTCGCCTCCCCCCCACCTCACCTATTCCCTGTTCCTTAATTTTTTTATTTCGTTTTTCCCCTCCCTTGCTTGGCTTCTGGTGCTTCGTCCTTACTTTTATTTTAATATGTGCTGGCTGTTCCCTCTTAATGACACGTTCCTTCTTTGGCGTCTTCACATACTCCTTCAGCAATTCCGCTCAGCATTCCGACTTTTGCCCCTCAGCATATCTTCATTCCCGTCGCAGTTGCTCCTCCCGGTAAACCTTCGCTCCCTCCCCTTTCCTCTGTTTATCCTACTCTTTCTCTCTCTCCCTCTCCTTTCGGCGCACACAGCAGACTCTTATACCAAGCTCCTTTTCCCTCTGTTCTCCTATAATTTTTAATTCCATGTTCCAGCTCTAACTCTCCGGCCCCTCTCCACCATCCTTTCTTCGTTTCTGTTCTTTCAATCCTACTTTCCCCTCTTTCCGAGTCATCCTTCTTGTTTGTTCTTCTCTTCTTTCTTCTTTCTCTTGTTCTCATGCTCCTCTCA